TGGTCAAGCATTGGAACAGGCTGCCCAGGGAGGTGGTGGAGTCACCATCACTGGAGGTGTTAAAAAAACATGTAAACATGGCACTTCAGGACATGGTTTAGTTGGCATGGTGGTGTTGCGTTGATGGTTGGACTTGATGATCTTAAAGGTCTTTTCCAGCCTTAATGATTCTGTGATTCTGATTTATGTAATGAGGAAAGGAGAGTGATTAAAAAGCATGATTTCTTTTTTCAACGTAGGGAGGAAATTAGCTGCCAATCCTGTAAATACTTTCATACATATGTTCATGCATGCACTTTCTATTTTTATGCAGAGGCTATTGAAATGAATCGTATTTAAGTTCATATGGACGTCTGTTATTTTTCTGACCTCCTTCATAGCAAGAATTGTTTTATAAGTATTTGTGAGGTCGTGATTGTTCTGATCACCTCTACCATTCTGTTTACAAAGCACTTAGTGTAGGTGGCACAGCTGATGCTTTATAGCCAGTGCTTTCAATGCTGAACAAAATTCTTTGCTTTTTTAGTCTTTTTATCTCTGTGAACTGGACGTTCTTTAGTATTGCTTCAGGTAGTCCTTTACAAATTTATAATGATGTATCTGCATCACCCTCTATGTTGTCCTCAACTAGTTAGCATAATTAGCATTAAGTAAAATGAATGAAATGCAAAAAAAAAAAAAACCACAATAAAAGAATAGGCTACAATGGGCAGAAAGATAGATTTTAAGCTCTTTTCAGCTATGAATTTGTATATGAAAAGATTACACATACACCCTGCTATTATTTCCATTTTTAATATAGGGTCTTTAAAGAAGATTTAAATGATGATTTTCTGTAGATATGTTCTTGATTTATTCAAACTCCTTCCTTCCCTTCCTTCTTTAAGTAATGTCTTTCTCTAAGTTAAAAATCTCTTCTCACTCTTTGCTAAAGCAATTGCGCTGTAATATGTACAGTAAACTTAATTACCCTTCAGACAGTAGTACAAATGGTAAAAAAACTTTTCTATTGTATCAATATGTCTACCTTTTTTTAAATTTTACAGCAGTAGTTTTTTTACTTCCTAGTTTTAAAATGCAGTAAAATTTTTGGGGGGCATAAAGACCTCAAATAAACATGAAAAAAATCCCTTGTTTGCAGGAAATGAAGATCATGCAAATGGTGTTATTTCAGCAAAGGGTTGTTTCAGTTAGAACTTGGCCTTAAGAGGGATCTTCGATTTGACTTCCCCAGGCTAGGGAAGAGTTGCCATCTGGTTTTGGACTTTGTGGTTCAATTCCATTGCTATTTTTAAAGCTTTATCATTAGTACAAAGCGATGAAGGGAAGCTGTAAAGAGGGCTATGCTGGCACCAAACAGGTTTTTTAACAACATACAAATCACTCAGTTTAACAGGTTTTGTGCATATCCATTATAGGGTGGGATAGAAATGGATTTGTGCATTCATTTTTGATGTGTCTGTGTGTAGGAAACTTAGAACCTTTTCTGCCTACTTGCCAAAGGTAACTAGCACAGTGTGGTCCCAGAGTTACAGCTTCAGAGCTGTACAAAATGTCAGATGATGGGAAAGGCATTAAATATTGCTGTTACCAGTACTGGAGAATGTTGCAGAAGTACCTGTGTTCCTTCTGTTGCAGCAATTCTCCTATGAAGTCCTTGGACTGCAGCAGTAGACAGTATTGGCAAAAACCAGGGCTTTAAAACAAGAAGTAAACGGCTCATTTTCAGGATTAAAGAAAGAAATGTAGCTGTTCCATTGTGAAACACTTTCATGATAACTAATAGTGAATTGCTTCCAACATGGTAGCTTTTTCTGAAAGAATGATTACAGTATAACACCAAGCAGGCTTTTGCTTTTTCCCTGTGCTGTTGCAATGGTAGGCACATGTTGGTATGTACTTCTTTCCTGTAGCCTGCCTTCACGTTCAGAGGGAGACTCAGTGGATGGATTCTTACTGTAGAAAATGAAATGTCCAAGCATTAGTAACATAGCACTGCTATGACAAGAAAGTGCTTAGAGCGGGACTGACTGAATATACTTGCATTTCTTGCTATGTTCTTCTGTGCTTTCCTGGTGCTACTACGGATACGTTAGTCTGTTCTGCTGGTGAAGAGTTAAAAAGAAAAACAAACCAAAAACCTTAACAAAGGCAAGGTGCTAACAGCACCGGAACAGACTGGAGGATCTTGCTTTCTTCTCACAGCCCACCTAGTACAAGTCCTGATCTCTCCATAGCATCTCCCCTTTCTCTCTCCCTGTTCTAGATGGTGTTAAGTCAGCATTTTTTCCATGTGGCTCTTTAAATCTGGAAATTATGATGACCTCATGGCAGACTCTTTTTTTTAAGTGTTAAATTTCTGGAAAGGTGCTTCTTTTAATAAAAGTTTGTAGTGGCCAAATACTACATACGGAATAAGTCCTTCAGAGTTGCCTTTCTGGTCACTGAAGCAAAAATGAAGTCCATGCCTTTATTATTATTATTTATTTATTTAGCATTGTTGCCAGTTGTTCACTTTTCTTATTCAAACAGGCAGGTTGTCTTTGGTGCACTAGATGTTTGTAATAATTAGTGTTTCCTACCAGCAACTAAAAATGGCAAAATACTCCAAGTTTTAAAAGCACTATGTGTTTTTTCAGATTGTATTCACTTTTGCCTACTTACTAGGGCTGTCAGTGCTAGATGGCTGTTTATTTTCATGTTTTGCATTTTCTCTGTCAAATTACAGGAAAAAAAAATGTAATTGTTAATGAACTTAGTCAGCAGTCTTTTTGTCCCACCTCCTGTTCCCCTTTGCACTGCTTATCTGGAAAAAAGATGCTAAACTATTGCATGCAATGCACATTCTGGCTGCCATTAAAGAATAAATTCCCAGGTTCTTCGTGGAAATTGAAAAACTCTCAAGAGAAATTAATAACACTGTCTCCTGGTGATATTGGATGCCAAAGGAAAGGAAGATAGGAGAAATGTACCAGATTAATCTACCCTGATACGTATTTTCTTCTCAGTCTGTCCACTGGCAATCTCTGTGCTGAAGAACCATTGATATTAAGGGAGAGTTTACAAAAAACTCTGTTTGTTTAGATTTGCAAGGTGCAAAGGACATAAAAATTGGCTGCCAAATATTATTTGTTCATTTATTTTGTTCAGCTAGAAATACTGTATATACATTTTTCAATATCTGCAGTTGCAGAAGTATTGAAAAGAGCCTCTGAAGTAAAGACCATTTCCTGTTCTTGCAGGCAGCCATGCAATATACTTCATTAACTCAGAACTATCTGAAAGGATTTTCTGCCCTGTCTCTGCTGGAGGGAAGCCACTGTAGAACATTAAGGCTTTGCTAGATACAAATCTTATTCTCAGTTCAATCCTAAACATTCGTAGCTGGCTTCTTCACTGGTAATTCATGCATAGCCTGGTTTTGAAGGGGACCTGGTAAAGGAACTACCATAACAATTTGGCCAGGTAGGCTTTCAGAAGATTCGCTTCAGGATGATTTTTGTCAAGTGCAAGGTAGGGTTTTTCTTGCTAGGGATGCCAGTATGGCCTGTTGTCTTTATTTTGGGCATACTGTGCTTAAGTTGTTCCTTTCCCATGTTTCATCAGTTTAACACATAGATTATGTAGACTTTCAGATTTCTTTTTCATAGGCTACAAAGACAAGTTTTTGGTTCCCTCATATAAGGCCATTTCTCCTTTTTTGGATCTTTCTTGTAGTTGCTCTCTGTACTTGTGTCACTTAGCGTTGTTGGTGTGATGATTGGAACTTCAGACACTGTGAAGTGATCACACCTAGGCCTTCTGCACCTCTGGTGATACTATTCTAGCATTACAGAAATCTGTTTCTTAGGCTTTTTAGAGCAGCTTTTTCCTTTTTTCTTCCTGTTACCATTTCGGTTATTTTTTTCCTGTTAATCATATTCTTTTTAACAGTGCTCTGAAGCCTTGGTTTTCTGTATATAAGCACTACATTTGTTAATTTTTATTCAGATAATCACATCATCAGCTTGACAGACCAATTTTCAAACAGCCTAGCCATACCTGTAAATATCTGTGCTAGTTTTTTGTACTTCTGGGGTAGATAGTGTCCATGCTTCACACTTTGCCCCCCTGGTTGTGCACACAGAAGGTTTTTTCGGTTTTGCTTCCTGGCTGATGGTGGTAATTGCCATTATCATAACGCCAGTCTCTGCCTGTGTGCAGCTGTCATAATTGCCATTGAAATTAGAGGCAGAAGTGTTTGTTCAGTTTGGCTTTCACTCAAGTTCCCACTAAAATAAATTAGAGCTCTGTACCATATTAAAATACAATTTAAGGGGCTGGATATCGCTAGCTGACTGGGAGTAGTAACTAAGGAAGTTGCCTCCTTGAAAGTGCTTTCGGTGCTAACAGATTCTTGTTTATTCATACCATTTTATTTCTTGTAGTGTGCTGTGTGCCTGGAGTTTAATCTTTTTCATTTCCTTGACCATTTCAATTAGTCTAATAAATAATACTGCTTCTTCCAGTAAATCTTTCCTGTCTCATTTCTGTGTAGTCTACCATGATTTTGGCCACGTCTGTTTTACACAAGTAGCAGATACACTTCAATACAGGGGTTTGAGTTGGGGCTGCCATGCCATCACGCTCATATTTGCTCTGTGTTTTTCTTGACCAGACTATTTCTATTGCCTGCAGACATTGGCCATCAGGGGTTTAAGGCCCAGTTAACAGAGGAAGTTTGAGGGGAAAGAAAAGAGCTAGGAATCCTCATGTCTGAAATATTTCTAAAACCTCTCTGAAGCACTGGTATTTGTTTACTTTTTAGATCCCCTTTTCCCAGACGTAGAATTTGTTGCAGTAAAAGGTTCAGCACCGTTGCTCAGACTCCGGAAAGCAGAAGATAGAAATGGACCGATCAGGTTTGTCTCTGTGCACTCTTGACCCTTTTAAACAACATTCTGCAGATTTATGTTACTTACATATTGAAACTTTCTGTGGGGGTTAGATTATTTTTGTTAGCAATGGGAGAAAACTTAAGCTGTAACTCCCAGTTTTTCCTCCTATAGCAGAGTAGTATTTGGCTTCAGACTCTTCCCTGCTTTCTGGAACAAAATTTTGTTTTTATAATTCTAAGATTTCACTTTTGGGGTTTTTTTTTTTCCTTCATCTACGGTGAAGTCACAGTAGATTTTTATTCATGGATCCAAGCACAGCTCTACCCATGTGATTTTTCTTTTTCAACAAACTCATGAAGCCAGTACATTTTTTTTCTAGGAGCCAGAGGAAGTGGTGAACAATGTCTGTCTGTATTTATGTGTATTCTGAAGTAGTATTTTCATACTAGTGTATTACTACCAAAATATATTTCTAGAGAAAAAGGATTTATGCCTTACTAAGTGCTGTTTATGATAGAAGGAAAAGGTAGTTTTAACTCAGTGTTACACTAAAGCAGAAAATATTTGAAAGTGAATAATGTTTCAGGAAATGACGAGTGTAACAGCCCTAATAATTAAGTCTTCCAATGGTTGAATACCATAGACTAAATATTGCTTTGAGAGATCTGAGGACAGATTTGATTAATTTTTTACAAATAGTGTCTGTCCTCTCCTCCTTTAAATAGAAAAAGTCTTGTTTCTGGGAAGTTATGAATCATTTTTAGAGGCCAATGATGTATTGTTTCATAGGCGAACTTCCGTGTTAGATGAGAGGAGCAAGTAAAGTTAATGTGCGTGTGCTGAGGAGAACCAGCTCTAAACTGTGCATGCAGTGCTTTTGGTTTAAAATGCAATGGAACACACACAGAGAACTATTTTAGTATAAGAAACGTTCATATTGGACATTGATAATAAAAAGCAGTTAAGAGGCTACAAATAGAAGAGACAATGTGAATTAATGAATGTCTGATGCTTAGTATATTGAAGTGAGGACTAATGTTTACTTTTTTGTTTCACTCTAGTCTTTATCAAGTGATTGTGCTTCCTCTGCATTTGCAAAGCACTTTTACTTGTGACTCCTTTGCTTCTGCAACTTTCTTTAGTAACACCACTGACATTAAAGGATATGTGGCAGCTGAATTTCGGGCGAAGGATGTTGCTGATAACATGTCAATTGCTCTTGGAGACAGACATTACTACGGGAAGTTTTATAATGCTCCTTTAAAGCTGGGAGAAGAGTATTGTGTTTTTTTGAGAATAATAAGTGAGTGGAATAAGGTAATGGATGTTTTAAAACCTTTTCTTTACACCTGTTGAATGAAATGTTGCTGGGGAAAAACGAGGAAAATGTTAGTTTTGTGTTAAACTTTTTCTGTTGTTGCAAGGATCTGTTAGTTGACAGATTAAGTCTGAAGCTCTTTAAATAACTCTTTTCTTACAGGTATTTATGTCATTGTAATATTGGAGCAACTCTGGATGCCAAAAGGCAAACAATGGAAAAAGCCTGAAACTGAAGGGCCATTGCTGCCCTCAGTAATTGATGGTGTCTTTATTGGGCCAGAATTTAGTGAAAGAGATTAGTATGAGAATCTGAAAAGTACTCTTTAGCAATGAAAAATTCCCCCATTTTAATTTTTAATGGAATGTTTTATAGCAAAATATTCCAGTTCTCCAGATGACAAGGAAAAAAATATTTTATCATGTGTTATCTTCCACATAGCAATGAATGTCACCTCTGGCTTCCTTTGGAAGGCCTTGTGGAAAAAAGGAGATTACTACCATTTTTTTTTTTCTGTCATTTTAAAGTAATCATGTATTTTAATTAGAAACAAAAAGTTTCTAAATTGTACATCTCAGCTGTTTCATGCTCCAGTGTCTTGCCTCCCATGATGTCATTATACCACTATGACTCAGGGGTCAACAGCTTGTAATTTTTTCATAATATAAGTCTTAGCAGTAGCAAGTTTTTCTCATATGGGCCAGGTGATAGACTTTTCATGTGCATACAGTTCCTGAGTGTGAGATGTAAAAATAGAAAAAAGCAGCCCCTGCTAAAGAAAAACACCTAAACTTGCCTCACCCTGCCACTCAAGAAAATTAAAATGAATTTTTAGGGATTTGTAAACAGCACGAAGCAAGGAGGCACGCAAAAACTGATCTGTGAGTCACTTGTAAATAATTTTCTGTAATTTGGGAAGCCTACGGCCAAATCTCAGTAAGTTAAAACAGCTTCTGTTAAGAAATGTAATTCTGCCTCCAGTCCAAAGCAAGTAAAATAGAACAAGTACATGTAATAGCTGTTACTAGTATCTTCTAATCTATGTAGCATGTCTTTTGTGTGGCATCTACTTTAACAATAGTCAAGATGTTTTTATAGCACAGATAAAGTGGTTTCTGATCCTGATACAAGTCTGTTGTTTGTCATAAATTTTTAATTAACTGTGTGAGGAGAATAAGTAGGGAAATGGCATTTGAAGGCGTTCAGCTCATAAATAATGTTAAGTTAGCCCAAAATATCCTGGAATTTGGACAACTAGTTGTATTTTTTAGAAAAAATTACTCTATGGAGCAGAATTGTTAATGTGTCAAACATATACAAGTTTAGCCTCTTTAAGCACTCCTAAATACACACTTGAATACACTTTTATGTATCCTTGGGTTTCATGCTTTGG